TTGCACCAGATTGTTGTGGGGAAGCAAGGAAACAATGCAGCATTCAAGATGTTGAAGATGCCAAGGCATTGCTAAGGCTCATTCCCATATGGACAACATGCCTGGGGTACGCCATAATGTTTGCACAAGCCTCAACTTTCTTCACAAAGCAAGGGGCCACCATGGACAGAACAGTTTTCCCTGGCTTTGAAATTCCAGCTGCTTCACTTCAATTCTTCATTGGCATCTCCATCATCATCTTCATTCCTATCTATGACCGTTTTTTTGTCCCTGCAGCAAGAGCTCTAACCCGTCAACCCTCTGGTATCACCATGCTCCAAAGAATTGGAACTGGGTTATTTCTGTCTGCCATTTGCATGGTGGTTGCAGCTCTAGTTGAGATGAAAAGGCTCAAAACAGCATTAGAGTACGGGCTTGTGGATAACCCAAATGCCACAGTTCCCATGAGTGTGTGGTGGATGGTTCCTCAATATCTCATTTTCGGTCTTGCTGATGTCTTCACCATTGTTGGTATGCAAGAATTCTTCTATGATCAGGTACCAAATGAATTGAAGAGCATGGGACTTTCCTTTTATCTCAGTGTCATTGGTGTGGGGAGCTTTTTAAGCAGTCTTCTTGTTTCTGTCATTGATAAATTAAGTGGAGATACCTGGTTTTCAAGCAATCTTAATCAAGCTCATCTTGATTACTTCTACTGGTTGCTTGCTGGGCTCAACATGGTGGGGCTGGCAGCATTCGCGTATTTTTCCAGGTCTTATGTTTATAATATGGGGATGGGAAGTTCATCATCTAATTAGATTTTTTTTCTTTTTACTTGGGAAAGTTAAAAAGAAAGGCCATAATCTTGTATATGCAAGCAGTGGCGGAATCAGGATTTTGTTCTAGGGCCTCTACCTTAGTTTCTGTTTCATGGTTCCACCTAGGATTGTTAACGAGTAGGGTGGCTCTAGTCCGTGTGTTCTCAAGTTAACTTGAACTTGATTTATTTGGTAAACGGTTTGAGTTTGATAAAGAAACAAGTTTGATCTGGAGTTTTTCTGACTACTTACAAGTTACTCTTAAATACTTTATTTAAAATTAAAAAATTATATTATGTATTTATTACAATTTAAATATATAATTTGCATTAAAAAAACAATTTAAATATATAAGAACTTATAAATAAAACTAAACTAAAAATGTGGCTTAAGTAATTTACTTATTTTGAGTTTTTTTATAACTACAGATAAAAATATTTTTTAATGAAGTTTATGGTTTTTTTAATAAAGTGTTTATTAATCAAATCTCTAAAAAATTAAAAGGAAAAACACTATAAAACAATATTATTTTAATAAAATAACATGAAAAATATTAAAATAGTCTCATTCTTACTTTAAAATAAATTATTGCTTTTTCAATAAAAATCTATTAAAATAACATAATTTTAGAATATTTTTCCTAATTTTTTAGAAGTTTGACTAATAAATACTTTTCTCCTTTTTTTCCTTTTTTACTACTAGACTTTATATAATTCTCCTGTTCAAGCTTTTCATAATATGAAAAAATGTAAGAAAGTTTATGTTTAAATGATTATTTAATTATTTAAACAATTTGAATTTGCAAAAAAAAAATGCTCAAATTCAAACTCAAGTACTCACTTACTTGAGCTCACTTGAATAGTTAAGAATTTTAACATGATCTCAATTATTTTAAGTTTCAATATATAATTACTCAAACTTAACTCAAATTCAAATATTTATGATTAGCTTAAGCATAAGTATCTAAGAACTCAATTCCACTATACTTGTTGACCACCCTACTCCCACTCCAATTTTCAAAGTCGATTATTTTTGGTCCAAAAAATTTGCTCACTACGAGCACATATATATTCTGTTTGTTTGTAGTTAACTTTTTCCATGCCAGTGCCGCATGCCATTTTAAAAAACATAAAAACATTGCTTAAAATCACTAAAAAAATGATTAAAGATCTAAAAATACATACAAATGCCTAAGCCCAAATTAGAGCCTATTTCCCCTAGGCCCCTCCTCTTGCCTTTCTTTTGAGACCCAGAGTGTAGGCCTTTTGCCCAACCCTGGGCCTCTTTGCTTCCGGCACCGTGTGCAAGACTGCAAGTGCATAACTCCATGAAATGAACTTCCAGTGGATTACAATTTACCTATGTCAATACGGACCACATGCTTTATTGCATAACACTTCGTCTGTCCTATATATAAGAATACATCAACATCAAAAACCTGTTCCCTTGAAAAGATCGATTAACAACCGAGCTAGCCCCACTTTCAGATCACATATAACTTCTCTCCAATTGTATTTATATGTATATAAATTCATACTTTAATTGTTGATGTTGATGACTTAATGGTTGATGTTGATAACTTAATTAGTTTAATAATAAATATTTTTATTTTGTTTTATTTTTTACTTTAAATCATCATAATAATAAATTAAAGTGAAAAAAATTGACTTCCACATTGTAAAAAAAAAAGTTATAAGTAAATAAATTTATTTATCAAAAGCTAAAATGCAGTTGGCAAAGCACAGAGTGCAAAACAATAATCTTTTTTTTTATATAAAAATAATGATTAATAGATTAATATTATTAAAAATTAATAACTAAAAATTCAATTTTAAATCTAACGAATAGTCCATTAATCTTAATAAGAGGCGCGACCTTCATACGTTGGAGTTTGCAAAACAATAATCTCATTCATTCAAATATCACCGTGAATCAGATGCTGTTCATGACGTTAACACACAAAGAAGATATATACCTTCCCCACCAAAAAAATATCTGCAACTCATTTCAATTCATAACCCAAAGTAAATTTCTTTTCTCATTTAGATTTGAATACGCTTCACACATGTCCATTATCTCTCACACATCTTCTTCCGATTCACCGGAGACTCAAACTCCCCTTCTAGAAGAAAATCTCACCGACACTGTCGACTACAAAGGCCGTCCGGCCAACAGAAAGAACTCCGGCAGATGGAGGTCTGCAACTTTCTTGATAGGTATTTTTTTTTTTTTTACAAAAGTAATGATTAAAAAGTTAATTATAATTAAATGTTAACAATTAGGGATATCGTCAAGTTGAATTAACATTTCACCCCTCAAATAAATCACGTAGTCATTGGGCTGCTTTGGTGGAGTTTTCTTGATAGATAATTAAAACCAAAAAGTAAAGTAACCCATAGATCATATTTTGATATATATATATATATATATGTACTCCTATGTATGACAATGTTAATCAGTAAAGTATTCACTTCCCTTTAAGCTCACCCGAATTCAATATCAAATTTTTTTATACAACCATCTGTTCTTTCGGACAAAAATTGTTGAGGTTGATTTTATGGAACTGACTGGGTCTCAGATCCCGAATTCGTCTTTGGCAAGAAGACATTTTGATACTCAATTCAGTAAATAAAACGGTAGCTGCAGGTTGTTTTTGGTCTCATCTACGACTACTCACTTCTCTTGTCCTTAAATTCATCTTCATGGAAGCCCATTTGTCTGTACTTTTGAGTTTAGGCGTTAGCCCTTCACATGGTGTTGGGCCAACACATCAAAATACACTTAACACTCTTGAGGCAAAAATAGATTGATATGTTTTTTGTGCATGTATTTTGCAGGTGGGCAAGTTGCGGAGAGGCTTGCCTATTGTGGGATATCTTCAAACCTCATAACGTATCTGACGGGACCGCTGCAGCAGTCGACGGCTACGGCAGCGGAGGATGTGAATGCTTGGTCGGGAGTCGATTTGGTTCTTCCTTTCATTGGAGCCTTTGTTGCAGATTCTTATCTTGGCTATTATTGCACCATTGTCATTTCATCCCTTGTCTATATTCTGGTTCGTTCCCTGTCCCATTCTATCTTTTCAATCCTAACTTTTTATTTTTCTTTATTTGGAATCAATCATAAACTTTCTTCGTTAAAAAAAAATTAATAACCATAAACTTTCTTTTCAACCTTTATCTTCTCCACTGTGATACAAA